TTTTTTTGCATTCTTTTTTTATTTGCAGCAGTGGCAGCTCTCGGCCACCGTATACTTAATATCTTTTTTTCTTTCATATGCTCTTAATTTACTGTATTTTAAATTGATTTATCGTTTTTATATTTTTATCTGTTGCTCAGCACTTTGGTAACCTTGTTATTTTTAAAATGTGTTATACAAATAAAGGTGGAGTGGAGTTCCCGACTTTGGCACTCAGCCTCAAGTGGACACTTGAGGAACTGCAGTTTTTGCACTTTTAATCTGAATGTACTTTGCCTTTTTTGCCAATCTCTTCCAGAGATCTGTGAAAGTGCTAAATTCTGAATTTACAACTGAAATAATGACTCTGTGTCACTCTGTTATCGCTCAGAAAAACGCACAGAAAACCAAACTGTTTTTATCAACAACAAAAGGAAGTTGTTTTTTTTACTCCTGTGAAGAGGCGCTCTGGTTCATGTACAGGGGGAGGTAGTACAGGTTCAGATATCTTTTACAGAGGCTTCAATATTGATTTAACTCGTTTTAAATCCAGCTAAAAAACCCTCACAGGAGCTTTAAGTTTGATATTTGGTGACTATAACTGCCTAAAGTGTCAGGACAACTAAAGATTAGAGTAAAATCTACACCCTCCAAACTGAAACAGTATTTTTTAATGAGATAGTTCCTCCTTCCTCAATAATGTTAATGACTGAAGTCAAAATTACATCAAAAGAATGATTTTTTTTACCAAACCGTATCAAAGCACCTTAATTTAAAACTCACTAATCCCTCTGCAATGAGGCTATTAAAGAAAGACTACAAGTACAATATCCTGATCTCCTGTCACACACACACACACACACACACACACACACACACACACACACACACACCAGGGCTCAGACAGTGTGAATCTAATGCCCTCCAATCCTGTGAATCCCTTTGTTCCTGATTTCACGCTTGATTTGCCCACAGCTTGAATCTGGCTGCTATCAGCGCTCCTCTCCCTGCTTTCACTGCTGCCAACAAATCCACAGAGCCGCCCAGGACCCATGCCTCCTCTCTCCCCTCTCTCCCTCTCTGTCCTGAGCCATTGTTTGCTCCAACATCACTGTGAAATGCTCTCCAAACTTGTGCCAAGGAGTTGTGTTTGCGTGTTTGTTTGCAACTCGGTCTCTCTTTCTGTAAACAGCCCAGCTAACTGCCAAGATCCCATCAGAGAGAATCCAGATTTTCATGTGATTTATTATGCTGTTTGAAATCTTTCCATCAGGGACACGTGTAAGCACAAGGAACCCACTGGAAGTATATCTATATTAAATGATTTCCTGTAGAGTTGCAGGAGTAATGCCCCTCGTGCATTAACAACCGCACAACACGCGCGCTACAAATCGCTCACAAATCTTCAGATTGATTCAACACCTCTCCTAAGAGGCCTTTCAGCCGCTCTGTTTTGAAATCTTCTGCGTCTAAAGTGGCACACCAGATAGGCTCCTCTTCTGCTCCCATGCTCCTTCCATCCCTGCAGCACTCAGAACAGAGATGCTGATGTGACAGCTGTGTGAGGGGGTACAAGAGGGAGAGAGAGAGAGAGAGAGAGAGATGAGGAGAAGGAAAGACAAGGAGAAAGAAGGAGAGAGGGAAGGAGCGAGGAGCAAGTCCCTTGAGAGAGGGTGCCGGTGCTCCACAGCTCCGAGTCACCTCCTGCATGCCAATGAGGAGATTCCCCTGCAGCAGCAGCAGGAGGGGGCGGCGGCGGCTGCTGACACACGAGCGCTGTAGTCCTTCATGGTCACATTACACACTCTTCACAAAGAGACTGACACCAGATGGATCTCTGAAGACAACCATCAAATTCAAACGACTGTAAACACGATCATGATTGTAATTTTAATTATTTTAGCGATTAGAGCAACCGTTATCAGCAATCATTATCCTTTAACTCTTTATTTAAGGTTTTAAAGTCAACTACAGATTAATAATTATACATTTTATTTCATAATGATAAAGTAATAATGAAAGTCAGTCTGTGTATCAATTAAATTGATCAGTGTATTTAGGATGGATTCAGTTATTGATTCGATTCAAATGCCAAAAGTTTAAACTAACTGAGAGTGACGTGTAAAAATTAGTATTTTATATTGAATAAATTATCACTTTACATTCAGGTTATTATGAGGTATAGATAGGGCTGGGTGATAAAACGATATATATCGAACATTAATTTCTACGCCCTGACTGATATGGATTTTTTGGGGCCGATGCCAATACCGATTATTGGGGGGGTGATTACCGATTAATCAGCCGACTTTTTAAAAAAGTTTGAAAAAATATACTTATACTGTAGATATCTACAGTATAAATATATACTGTAGGTCTTCACGCCAACAGGAAGCCGAATCTTATTCTCCGCATTTTATTTCTGAAAATATCAGAGAAAATCGGCGAGTTTTGACCGATTACAGATTAGTCTCAAATGCTAAAATTGGCCAATTTAATCGACTCGCTGATAAATCGGTTGGGCCCTATTAATTTCCCTCAATATCAATATAAACACGATCAATATGCTTTTTGATAGTCATCATTCTGACATGTTTTGGTCGACTATCCGAACAGCCAATGAAAAGGGGAGTGTCTCCTGGTCTGAACCAATCATCTTCTGAATTAGAACCAAGTATCAACCAACTGCAGCGTCGTAGCAGACAGCAGCTCCACCCAACCATAGCACTTTAACAGGTGAAGCCGACAGCACTGTTGGTGAGAAACAAAGAAAATGAGTGCTACCCCCGACAGAAATGACCATGAAGGCTCAACAGATGACCACATCAATGTCAACCACAACACTGGCGTTAGGAAAACGTCGGTGGTGTGGAGGTATTTTGGTTTATGGAGGTCGGACATGAAGCAGAGTAATGTGGACTGTAAATTATGGAAGCCCATGGCTCCTGAAACAGACGACCATTTAGTCGCCTTTCTCTAGAGCGACGCCTTACGACAAAACGCCAAAGAGACACAAAGACCTCACAGATGCAGGAGATTATTGTGTTGGAAAAGACATGAGACCAATAAACACTGTTACATTTTTATTTCCTGATATTGATCGATATCCACTGATATGATAATAATATATCGTGATAAACTTTTTCCCATATCGCCCAGCCCTAGGTATACATATATATCCATGTATGTACAGCAGGATAATGACCACCATCACAGAGCTTCAAAATAACCCCTCAGACACTTAAAGCTGACGTCACCGGGACTAGATCCATGTTTGATACCAAAACTCACAATAACCTGACAAAGTGAATTTAACATTGGAGCAGTTTTCTGGATTTTCAGCACTTGTTTTAACACCAATGCAGTCTGTCAGACCTGGTCCACCGCTGTACTAACGACAACAACACTCTCCACTAAAATAGATCAACTTCTGAACTTATCAATGTCACTCCTGATATCATCTTTGTCAACACCAATCAGACTCTTATTTTCTCTACATTAGTTTGACATTTACTGACTCAAGTTTTCTTCAATAAAATATAATATTAAAATCAATAATACAGCAGCTGTTAAAGTCAGGGAGTATATATTTCTAGTATTTTTCTACTTGGTCCAAGAGTTAACTGTATAAATAATACAATAAAACAGAAACAATAATTAGACTCAGTGAAACAAACTTGACTTTGATTTGAGATGTTGTTGTCCCCTTTTTTTCTTCCATAGACACATATCACTGTCACAGTAAATGACATCTTTAGACCTGTATAAGTTCTCTGTATCTAAATGCTAAACCCTCGCCGTCTATCGCCCGACACGTACAGCCCGGAGCTTTGACGCCTGTTTATCACTGCTGTCACTTTCCCGGCTGTTTAAGTGTCCGTTTAAAAGCTGCTCCGTCCCAGAGGGCTCGTCTTTTACCCGTCCAAAGCTCTAATCAGCGCACAAAGCTGAGGCAACCCACCGTTCGTTTCTTAGCCCCGGTCCCAATCTTCCAACACATCCCCCCTTTGACATCCGCACCGGCACTTAATTCCCCCCTATTATGTTCGTATGTTTCTATAGCCTCCTAATGAGACAAGAAAGGGGAGTATCAGCTTGTGTCCATTGATGCGGCGTGTGCTGAATGCGTGTGAATGTGTGCGTCCGTGGTCTGAGCCATCTGCCCATCACAGGACCATGGCGTGTAATAACAGAATCATGACCGTGGAGATCAGGACCCAGGCGGGGAGCCTTGTATTCATGGAGCTTTAAAAAGCAGCCATCCAACACTGATCGGACACACCCAGCTCATACTCCCCCTGCGTCTATATGTGCGCCCCGAACCCTCGCGCCGTTCCCCCGGTTCTGTCCTTGGGCCTCAGCCTCCGCGTTGCCAGGGACGACGTGGTGGCCAGGGTCAGAGGTGCTTGTTGGAGGTGAGGTTCAGACAGCAGGCCCATCTGATAGGACCATCTGGACGAGTGACCTGACATAATTAGTTATTAATTCTTCTGGGGGAGGAGGGGTGGTTACACACAGCCAGTGCTCTTTAACACACTCTGCTGCTGCGAGCAACAGATGTGACTCTTCTTCTTCTTCTTCTTCTTCTTCTGCTGATGGAGAGAAATGACACTAAAAAATCAACTACCTTCTTATGAGGGAGTCGATTTGTAGTTTCAGTCGTAGTTTTAATTTTAGAAATAAAAGGACAAAAACAAAGAAAAAAGGAAAAGCGGTTTGATCTTCTGTCACACAGAGAAAGGAGAGATAAGGGTTTTTCACAGGTGGCAGCCATGACACTTCTTCATCCCTATGTGAATACAGACTCAGGATTTTTGGAGCCCGCCTCCAGACCAGAACCTCGACCTTCAACACGGTGTCAAAGTCCAAAATGCTCCTCTGAAGGACATTTGTAAGAGCTCTTCTCCTGCAATAACTGTGGTTAGCACTGAAACGTCTTCTCAGGGCGTATATAAATATTAGGGCCTGACCATTTTTAGCCCGTTTGAGACTAATCAGTAATTGACCAAAACTCGCTGGTTTTCGCCGATATTTTCAGAAATAAAATGCGGAGAATAAGATTCGGTTTCACTTCGAAAATGTTCCTCCATTTGAAAAGTTCCCTGACTTATCCTGTAGATGGCGCTACAGCGACCTCATGCCAATCTTCATCCACTAACTACCTCACAGCACAGCAGAGTGACGGATCTGAAGCAGCAGCTCAGGGACGCACGGAGGAGAGTGGTCCGCCTCAACGGGAAATAAACCAGTTTGTGAAAAACACAATAAGTCAACAAGTTTCAGTTCAACCCACTTCACCATGTTCCCCGCTGTGCTGGTCTCGGTCACGCCCAGTTAACGCTGAAGCACCATGGGATATGAAGCTAACGTTAGAGTTAGCCACCTGCTATTAGCCTTGCTACACTGTTAGCCGTGTCAGTAACGGTAGAATAAACAACAGAACACATTAGTGATCGAGATACTTCTCTGACTGAGGCAGCTGCATGTCTCCAGATGAGACCGGACCGGAAATGTGAACACGAGTTAAGACGCAGAGGCACCGATTGGCATGGGGGGTAGTTGAAAACTCTTTTCTGGTCCCAGTTTGATTAGTCAGTAGCAGTAGCCTACAGTACATATACAGTATATATATATATATTTTTTATAACTTCATAAAAATTTTTAAAAATTGTCCGATTAATCCGTAATCAGAATTTTTCCCCCCTAATAATCGGTATCGGCATCGGCCCCAAAAAAATCCATATGGGTCAGGCCCTAATAAATATATGTGTGTTTTATCTTAACTTAATTAATTTTCTGAACAGTCCTGATTTTTACTTCCTTTATTATGTTTCTAACTTCACTGTAACAGTCCAACAACATCATTAAGACAAATACCCTGTTGGTACTGACCCACTTTGGGATAAACTCAGATCCTGAACTTTAAACTTTAACAAACCTCAACGTAACAAACAACAAACATTTTCTCTCGTAGCATCAAAAAGGTCCGTCTGTGAAGAGTCAAAGAAAGAGCGAGGAGCCTCTCCATTTTTTGTCCTGCTAATTTTTCTTCATTTGAGATCTTCAGTTAAAAAAAATGGAAACACTGAGAATTTAAACTGATGTGAATCCAACAAAAACACGTGAACTCCCTCCTTTTCATTCCCTGTCCTCTATCCTGTAATAGCTCTTTTAAAGTTGTCAAATGAAAGCCTCCTAAACTCTTGAGCAAACAGGAACTTCAGCAGAGTCTCCAGGAGCGGCTGACGTCTCCTCCTCATGTTTGAGCAGGAGAGACGGGACAAAGCAGCTAAGAAGAAACCAAACAAAGACACCTTCAAAAAGGATTTAAGGTTTGACCAAATGGACTTTCTCTGGTCTTTAGGTGGGAAAATGGTTCAAAACGAGCGTTAACAAAAGGGAGCTCTGCTGCCTGTGTGTTCGTCACATATCACTAAAACGTGAACAAATCCAGGAAACGACAGACGACCAGCAGCTCCCACTCTCTTGATTACGGCAGAGGGCCTGACACATGCTGATAAACACGGATAATTAGTTGTGAAAGGTTCATCATTATCATTACATCATTACTTTCTGCCATTGTGGCGCTAAGTGTTTAACAAGATTAGGCTGCCGGTCACGTTCCTCCTCTCAGGCGAGCAGACAATGGACAACTTTACGAGCCGGCAGCTTCATGCTGTCGCTCCTGAATTTCTGCTAACGCATTTTAGGAAATTAACAAGATTTTTTTATTTAATGAACATTTTTGGAAATCTTCTTTATTTATTAGTTAGTGCTATTTCACTATTTCAGAAGTTTAATGAATAAGACTTTTAAAACCTTTCTATGATGATTCTGATTTTAAATAAGTTTTAGACACTATTTTACAAAAGTATTTACCTCTCTTAAATCTGCTCATAAATACTCACTCACTCTGTTATTGGTGCTCTGTTACTGCAGTTTAACTTTTTCCTACATATTTTCACTCGTTTCAGTCCGATGAGTAGAAAAACATCCTTACTCTCTCCTCAGCTCTACTGAAGCTGCATGTGTTCTTCTTCTCTGACTTTCATGACAGATGACATCTACGGTGGCCGAGAACCGCCACTGCTGCAAATAAAAAAAGGATGCAAAAAATAGAAACAGTAACGGAATTTACCGATGCAAACAAAAAAAAAGAAGAACCAAAGCCCGCTGCAAATAAAAAGAAATAGTGCAGATTTAAAAAAAAAAAAAAGCCACAATGGAAGTTAACAACGCAAAAAAAATCCTTCTTTGCTCATCTTCTCGCCGTCGTCTTCTGTGCCTAGACCATAAAACACCGGTGCATCATCATAATTGGTCTCTGGCAGCTCACTTCAGTTGTGGCTTTTTTTTTTCTTTTTACATCCTTTTATTTTCGCAGTAAGTAACTTTTTTTTGCATCGTTATCTTTTGTTGTGACTTTTTTTTTATCCGCACCATTTCTTTTTTTTTTTTTGCGGCGGGTTTTGGTTTCTTTTTTTGCGTCGGTAACTTCTATCTTGACTTCTTTTTTTGCATTCTTTTTTTTTTTTTTTATTTGCAGCAGTGGCGGTTCTCGGCCACCGTAGACATCACTTCCTGAACCTGGATGTGTTGGTTTGTTCATGAGTAAATGAGCAAAAATCAACTTTGATCAGCTCTTATCTGATGAAACTATATCATTGGCCAAATAAACAAGATTTATTATACTGTTATGTATCCTGCATTACTCTGGGCTCACGTCTATCTAACAGCTCTTGTCTTCTGAACTGACAGTTAAAAAATTTAACGGGTCCATTTTATAGAAACAGAGTTCGATGTGAGACGTTGGTCAGGATAAATATTTGTGTCTGTTTTTTGTCAGTAAAAGTCTGAGCAGATTCATCTCTCTTAGCCCCGGTGTTAAATCTCCTGAGTGTCTCTCTCAGGAAACCAGTTGATCATAAGCATCACAATCATTTGAATAACTGCGAAACATCTGGTGCCAATTTTTCTCCTGGAATTTAGAGAAGAGACCGACTCTTTATTCGATATTCATCTAAAAACAGACGTTTATATGAAGCTGCAGTTGGTCATCATCGCAAATCTGAATTATTAGACAGCAAAACAAAATGCACTGATTGAAGAAAACAACACATTTTGACACCCAGTATCCTTCACAACCTCTAACACACACACACACACGCCGCCGCCTCTGCCCTGTCACTCTACTACAGCAGGAATCTGATGGCGGCCTCTTCTGAGCGAGTGATCCTGCACCATCTGGTAACACTGATCTTCAGCTGTTTGAAGAATCAGGAGAATCAACCCATCATCATCATCATCATCATCATCATCGTCGTCTCCACCCCTACACACACACACACACACACACACACACACACACACACACACACACACACACACACACACACACCAGGTGACTTGTACACATGTGAAGTGCACCTGCACACATACATGCATAATTCCATCCACCCCACACTTCATTTACACACACACACACACACACACACACACACACGTTTCCCCTGCAGGAGTGTGATGTCATTACAGCCCTCTAAGGCCTCCGATTAGCCAGTGCTCTGTAATCACTGCTGATATATTAGTACAATGCATTGATTACCCCATAATCCAATCACTCGCCTGTTATTGATCTTTTATAGAGCGCCCCCCAGACAATAAAGCTGCAGCCACAGACTGCGGGTCAATAGGCGCACAGGGAGGGAAGTCTCCTTGCAGCTAATTGGCTTATGAAATAATACAAACATTTTGCTTTCACCACACCAGCAGAAATCAATGCAGAGCTTAGCTGCTGCATTCAAATCAATTCAACCACATGTCAGGTTTCTTCTTTCTGGTTCAGGACTCATGTCCCATTAACCCCTTTTATCAAAACGTCCAAATCCTTTTTCTGCTGCAGCGACACACAAAGACTTCTTAAACATCACAATTATAATTTATGTAGAAATAATAAATAATTAACTATATTAACTTTTGTTTAGACTTTAGATGTTCAGATCAGGGCTGACTGATTTAAAGTCGTGTGATATTCGTCATATAAAACAGGTCACACTGTCGGTACATTCATATATTTTTTTAGGATTATTAAACAATGGATCTATATCTGGTATCACCTGTAACATGAGAATCTATGTGGAGTCTTTACACTTCAATAAAATCCCTGTTTTTTTTCATTCTGTAAAATTAAGTTATAGAAAATAAAAACAATTAACATTGTTGTCGCTAAATTAGAGAAAAACTTCAGACCCACAGTCTCTCTCGTTTTTTAGCCGATGGCTGTATTTCCTGTATCCCTCTTCACAACAGCGGTAACGTTTTCGTTAATCCTGGATTAAAATAACTTTTGTCCTCTAAATTATAACTTTATTTTTTATGTACAACTTCATTCTTTAAATCTTGATTTTTAAAGACGTCTTGTGCGGCTCTTCAGTAAATTAGAATTATATTTTAAGGACAGAGTGTTTAAATGAGTCAAACTGTTTCAATGCGTCACAGTTTTAATCCATAGTGGGGGTGACCCTCCTTTTGACACCACAGTCTAAGCTTTAAGCTTTAATGCTAATGTTCAGACCTTCTGTCATGGTCCAGCTGAGTGATTTAGATGCAGAGAAACTGACCTTTAATTGTACAGCAGTTAGAAACAGTAGATAGTGACCACATGGAAAGATACCATAATTAAGACCCTATTAGCTACCATTATAAACTACTGATACTAAATATCAGACGATTCCCAGACAACATTCAACCATTCATGTCTGAGGGGCAGAAAAACTCAGAAGTCCTATTTTCATGTAAGGCCAAGCTCTTTGGACACCACAGTCTTCTTCTGTCAAGAACACCTCAAACGTCCACGCTCACGTCACACAGCAGCACCTGGAGTTTGAGGAGGTTACCAACAACAGCTGACCGACACACACAGCACCACTTTACCAACTCAGGGTCAACTCTGGACGCAGAAAAAGACGACAAAGGTCCATAACCCGTTTCATTTCCACAAACCTAAACCTCCACACGTCGTCAGGTTAAAGACTTGTGACAGCTCAGCAGATTCCTCTGACCACATGAGCTGAACATGCAGCTGCTTTTCCTGTTAAATAAATCCTGAAAGTGAAGCTGATAGAGAGTTTTAACAGACGAGAGTCAAAGTTCTCTTCAGACTGTGAGAGTGTTTGAAAAATCTGACAAACATGTCAACCATGTAAAATTAGAGCCTTTGGTCACTCAAATGTTAAACTAGATTATTCTTGTTGTTCTGACCATGTTGGTGCCGGTTTATCTCCTGTGGTATCTCAGCTCGTTTCCTCACCAGAGTTTCCAGTCGGAGATTTTCTAGTTGAATGGTTTTGACTAATTCCTGCTCTCCTCTCTTTTCCACCTCTGCCACACTCTCTCACCTGCCTCCCCCTCCAGCTCTCACACCACAGCCTTCACCTCACCTCAGAGACTCTCTGCACACCCTGGACCCTGGATCCCTCCCCACCATCAAACACTTCCTCTTCCTCCAGTCCTG